ATAGAGCACAAAAAGAAAATACTATTATTACTAGCAGCCTGTAGAGAACCTCCTCTCTAATATTTCACATAACTGTCAATGGAAACAGCATATAGCTCCTCCTCCTACAGATAGGCACTCCTAATCTATGTTACCACCACTACTGAAAGCTCCTCTTTGTGCTTGTTAAAAATCTACAATAATTTAAAAGGAAAAGATTGTTCAGCACCTGAGCAGCAACATGAAGTGTCTATAGCAAATTAAAAATTTAACTGAGGCTAACTAAAGAAGTATAGAATGATTCTTGGATAGGCCAGTATCAATTGTTTGGACAGCTTATTTCTTCTATGCATTCTTTGAAAAAAAGGCATTTATGTAATACAAGCTGCCAGCGGGACAAATCCAGCTCACCAAGCCAACAGATCCAGCCTGTGGAACCCTTAGGCAGAGAACAGCTCACACTTTAAAAAGCCAGCTCTGGAAGGCTGGGGAGGGAGGAGGGAAACTTCTCACGCTGTTCTCCCCCCTCTCGCCCCAGCAAAATCTCTGAGCGCCTACTGGCCAATCTCTCAGTTTCCAGCCAATAGGAGCTAAGAATTTTTGCTGGGAGTAGGGGCAGTGTAGGAAGCCTTCTCCATCCTACCCCTCCCACCCCTCCCCACTCCTGCCCAGAGCGCAGCAGCCTGCAGCAGACAGTCTGCCTTAGGTTTCTACTGGAAAGTGCACCCCAGCACCTCCCTTCTCCAATCCTCTGCCCCCTCCTGCCCCCATATCCCCTCCTAGATCTGGCACTCCAATCCCCTGCCCCAGATCACAATCCCCTCCTACCCTAGGTCATATCCCAAAATCCTGCATCCCAGTCCCGCGCCCTAGGTCATAACTGCCTCCTTCACCCAAACTCATTCTCTGAAGCCTTTCTCTCATTTCTTCCTCCTCCTCCTTCCTTCAATTCATTCTAATTAGTGACTATGAATAGGCACAGGTGTAGATGATGCAGCCCTATTACAAGTATAAGCAACCAATGTTCTAACCCAGTGATATTCAAGTTTCAGTGTTCCAGGAGGCAAATTAGCCATCAACGTTGCTCATAACAGCCACAGTGGTGTGAATTCATCATACAGTACTGAGAGACAGGACTGGTGACTGTAAATAAACTTTATGGGACTGTGCAAAACATGGCCACCCCTCCTGCACCCCAGTCCCTTACACCCCAGGCTCCCTTCTGCACCAAATCTCCATCCCAGACCCTGGAATTCCTCCATTAATATGCTGGAAGAGTGCAGCCTTTGACCACTTTCCAAAATATTGGAGTGCCACCTCCCCATCAAAAAATCATTGCCCACCCCTGATGTAATAGTGTCTGCACACACCTAAAAAACCAGGCCACCCATACAAAAATGGGACCATACCAGAATCTAGAGTCACACATGGGAGCCTTTCCATGCCAGAGTGGAAGGAGATGTCTGTTCTGTACTTGTAAGACTGTAAGCTTTAGGAGAAGGACAGTGCATTTTGGAAAGCACCGAGTACAAGCAACTGGCCAAGAAACAGTCCATGCAAAAATATGTAAATACAACAAGTAATTATGTATAAAGTAAACTTCATTTAACTGGCTTACAAAATAGACAAGACCACCTTGTAAACATCTTCAACATTTGCCGGAGCTGATAGAACATCACTGTTTACACTAATAGAACATGCTGAAATATAAAGGTCTTTGAACCGATTTCTGACCCTGAATTACTTCCAACTTGGTTGATCCCCTAATCCAGAACTGTGAAGCAAGTCACACACAGATTTAAAGCACACACTAATCAATGGACTGTATTGTCAATTTGTGCTGCAGTAGGCAAGAGCTGGGTCTGATGCCTTAAGACTTCTCCACAACAATGTGGATGAAATTAAGACCATCATAGCGGTTAGCCAGCCACTGGGCATTGTGGAGGATGCTTGTAAATGTCAGTGAGTTTAGAATATCACAATCCTCTAGAGCCAGAATTTCATAAGAAATGGAATAAGCAGAGGAAAAAAATGCCCAAAAATTATGTGGTGGATCACTGCCTCACCACTCCCTTCTGAGAATAGCCCTAAATTCAGAGGCCCCCAAGATGGGCACGTTACTGATCTAGGTTCAAGGAAAGGGAAAACAACAGAAATATTTGTTTGTTTGGTGTAAGGGCAGGAGAGGAGAACTGGATATATTTTAGTTTGTGCTAAGTCTTCTAAACAAAGATCAAGCATTTTTCAGGATCATCTTGACCTCTCATTCCATTCTTCCAAGACCCTCCCCAGTCCTAAACAGCTTGGGTAGTCTATCATTGCGGAAGAGTAAAAACTGAAGTAAACTGAAAATATACTTGGACACATTTTTATGGTGGTTATTTTTTCCAACTGACAAGACTCTCATGTTGCAATTAACATTGCTGCACTGGCAGTAATCCCACTAAAGTTTTGTTTATTTTAAGCCTCAGCAGGACAGAAACCCAACACCAGGTGCTGTAAAAGTAAATTGTTCCAGTTGTTAATATGTTAACAAGAGCTGGAAATGTTTTGCCTATGCTGCATATAAAAATACTATTGAATCAGGTTGTGATCAGAGGTGAAATAGACATTTTACAATTATTAATTACTACATACAAAAGTAGAACAAATTAGCTCAACTTTGAAGTATAGTAACAGTAACTTGGAGGACACTCTCCAAGCAAAGCATATTCTCCCTGGATTTAACCACAGTTAAAATTATCCAATATATATTA